AAATGAATCACAATATTTTAGATTATTTCGCCGACAAGTTAATAATTTAGTCATCTAATTAGTATTAAATTAGTAATTGTCACTAAAAGCATTAGGTTTGGACACTACTTTTTTTGAAGCTCTGATTTTCTAACCCCTTCTTCCCAATGAATGGGGAGCCGTTACACCATTAAGACATGGAAATATCTGCATTGAAAATGTGCGACTTTCCTTAGACACCTTTAAGACAAAGAAAATGGAACTTACTAAGGGCAATATTTCCAGCATTTGTATCCACTTTAGCAAGTGCCAATGGAAGGATCAGCCCAAGCAAATATAATTGCATTATTCTATAACAATTAAACTTAATAATCTCGACAAAACTGGCTCAAAAATATAATTTAAGTAAAGGAAGAATTGTTAAAGGCAAGGGTTGGAGAGAGGTTAACAGAGGTGAAATGGAACTCAGTGGAACAACAAGCAGTCACAATAATCACTGATTCCGCACATTTGGCGCGTAGTTTTAGGATTTGAAGATCAAACTCAGGAAAATTTCAAAATATGTTGTTAAGTAGGCCAATTGATAGAAAATAGTAAGATGCAATACAAATCCTCTTATACCAAGCAATAAATTGAGAGGAAAGTAAAAAAAAAAAAGTCTGTCCTAATCGAGAGGAACTACATGCCATCCTCGACAGGGAATAACTACCACTGGACTCCAATGCCACCTATAAATCTGTATCATGGATGTGGTCAAGGAAAGGTCAGAGTTTCACATAGATCATCGAGGTCAAAGAGGTGGCATAGCAGGAATGCCCTAAGGCTTTGTCGCTTTTCTTTGGAGCAATTAATTAAGGCAAGCGACCCCTACGGTTATTTTTAGCCTTTCGTGCCAAAATGTGGGGTTAGGTTATGTATGAAGTGGAAATCAAAATTATCTCCGCGTGATTCTTCCCAAAATTAAATACAAAATTTCCAAATTCAATTCATCCTCAGTTAGACAGTTACTAAAACTGGGTTAAATTTTAAAGATGAATTTATTTAGGAGAGTTCAGATAATGATAATAGCAGATTTTTGATAACACTAAATTTCTAGGCTGCAGATCTTTGATTTCTTCAAAATAGATCCACGATTTTATCCTTTTTCTGCAACTTAGGACCTTATGTATACCCGAGATAGATAGTACAGATGTAACGCGCTGCAGAATTACCTAAGGAGTTACGCTAGCTGGTTT